AGTCCACAGTTCTTGAAGGTGATGCCAAGGTAAGGAAGGTGGAGAAAGGCTGGATGCAGTGTCAGGAAGATTTCTCTGTTCCCTCCTCAGGGACAGCCAGCACTGATCCATGCCTGTGACCATTCCCAGAGCACATTCCTGATCCCAGTGGTGTCACTCCTGTTACTGCCTCTCCAAATATAACCCATCATTCATTATTGCTCATTAGCAATAGTATTATCATGACTACCATTGTATGAACATATATAATTAATTTTTCACTTTCTTAATTAAATACTTAATGGTATTAATGGTTTAAATCAGGCCATCAAAGCACTTACAGCTCATATAAAATGATACCAGCACTGGAAGAGATCTTCATCCCCACCAAGGCCTGTGCATTTGCTTTGGGGTTAAAAATTAATAAAAAGTTTAAATAATTAATAGAATTTAATATAAAATATTAAATATTAGTAAAATAATTAAGAAATTATTAGGGTTAAAACCAGTGTGCTTGGATTCACCACACCATCACCTTGTCACTCTGTCTTGATGTGTGAAGTCATACAAAGTTAACAAAAAAAAGGTGAGATAGCGAAATGTATGGAGAGACAGATGTTGAAGGTGCACAGCTGGAGCCACTGCAGCACCCCAGCCTGTGTGCATCCCATGGGGAGCAGGTGTGCCCAAGCTGATGCACAGACAGTGATCTTTCCACAAGGTTGTGGTGAATAAAGGAGTTCAGTGCATGCAAGTAGCCTGGAACATGCACTTTTTGCCTCACACCTGAGTTAGGCAGAGGATCCAAAGCAATCAGCAGCCACCAGAGTGGTGAGATCAAACCCTGCTGCTCCTGTGCAAATCCTCTCCCCAGATTTGGGGGCTTGGTTTTGCTGCTCACGCAGAGTGGTGCAGTCAAGATGCCACCAGGGATCTGCACTATCCCTGCCAGGGCTGGGGCAGTATCCCCCCAGTGCAAGGGCTGCAGAACATCTCCAGCATCCTGGAGTTTTGGTGGGAGATCAGGAGAGAGACTCCAGGGTATCACAGCACCAAGAGATCTCTGTGTGTGTGTATGGGCCCCAACATGCATGATGCCAGATCTGGAGCTTAAACCTGAATTGAACCTGCTGCAACTAACATGCCAAAAGGAAAGCACTCAGGGCATTTTATCAGTCACAGCATGGTCTGGGTTGGAATGGACCCTAAAATTCCTTCTGTTCCACCCCCCTGCCATGGGCAGGGACAATTTCCACCATCCAAGGCTACTCCAAGCCCTGTTCAACCTGGCCTTGGACACTTCAGGGATCCAGGGGCAGCCACAGCTTCTCTGGGCACGCTGTGCCAGGGCCTCACCAGGTCATCTCTCTCCACATTTCATGGGAACTTGCTTTACTTAGGACAGAATGAAATCATCCAGCTCCTGCTGAAATGTGAGATCTGATTCCATGACCATCTCTGTAGCTCCTCAGCACTGGATTTCCCTTCTGCCAGCATGAATCTGGGGTCACACCATCTAAACCCCTGAGTGTTTGTGTTGTCTCCTGGGTCCTTCCTTCCCGAGCTGCTCAGTGTTGGTTTCTGTCCTCACTGATTTCTGCAGCAATTTCTGCTCGGTGTTTTCCAGTGGAAGGGAAGGAGCTGCTTGCCAGCCTGTGCTGACAGATTTCACTCTGCAGCCTGCACTGACCTCAGCTCCCACATCCAACAAAACGCCTCAATCTCCTTTTCCCTGCAGCTCGTGCTGCCTCTGTGAGCTGGCAGCACGTTTTGATCATGGAGTGAGTGCAAAACATTTACAGGCTTTGAAAACAATGTTCAGAGAGGCACAGAGTGAGCCCAGGGCCTGTTTCTCAAGGCAATACCACTGCATGTTTTCCCTGCTCTCACACTCTGCTCTAAGCTCTCGATCCTCTGCTCAGTTCCTTGGCTCTTGAGCCCTTGGTGGACACAGGAGCAGAGCTAGATGGGCCATGAACCAACACGTGTGGATGTTCTTCACTCTCCACTGACTCCAGGTGTCCTTTTGTGGAGTACCTCAGCTTGCAGCAGCCCATCCAATTCCTTTGAGGTCAGTGTAACTTCAGGGTGCAAGAAGCAGCCTCAAGGCACCACTGATCTCCTCTTTCTTTCATGTATCTGTGATATCTGGGCTGCACAGACCACAGAGTGGAGCAGACTGGGAAATGCACCAAGACAGAAAGTGCCATTGTGGATGGCTTGGTGTCAATTAACCGTAGGAACGCTCTGAATAAATTAAATCACGCTGCAATCTGAAATGGAACTGATTCTTAATTAAAAGATAAGTTATTTCTTAATCCTCAGATGATTTAAACAATAAAAAATAGTTGTGGGAATTGCAGACACCCTTGTCAGCTGGCTGAGCAGTTTCAGTGCTGAGGCCCTGAGCCATTCAGAGTAACTCAGAGCTGTCCACTGCTCGGAGCAGGCTTTGGGCAAGGTGACCCCTGAGATCTCCTTCAACCCAAATCAAGGGCATGTAGGGGTAGGACAAAGGTTAATGGCTTTAAACTAAAAGAGGGGAGATTTAGGTTGGATATTAAGAATAAATTCTTCCCAATGAGGGTAGGCCCTGGCACAGGGTTCCCAGAGAAGCTGTGGCTGCCCCATCCTTGGAAGTGTCCAAGGTCAGGTTGGATCTGGCTTGGAACAACCTGGCATGGCAGGGGAGTGGAATTAGATGATCTTTAAGGTCCCTTCCAACCCAAACCATTCCATGATTCTGTAACTCTCCTTTACTCCTTGCATTATGAGCTCAGCTGTTGGATGCTGAAGAATCAGGATCTGGTTTTATTTTTTTTTTTTTTTTTTGGAAACCTTGGTGATGAACTAGTGCAGCAATCAAGTGTGAAGTAGCATGGTGTAATGTGTCAATAAAAACACAGACTATTTCCTTTTTTATTTCTAAGGTTCATTCTGGAGAAATTAGATTCCTCTAATACCCAGAGAGTGGCTTCTTTGTACTGAGAACTCCTTATTCACTGGACCAGGAGTTGATGTTCCTGTTTCTCACTGAGCATGAGGACTTGGAAATTTTCCTTTTATCAGCCCACAATAAATTGTAGGACATATAGAGAAAAGCCTCCTTCCAGTCACTACAGACAAAAAAACCCTAAAGGTTCCTGCTTTTTCTCGTTGCTTACCAGGGGATGTGCTACAGCACAAAGGTATAACTTATGGCAAAATAACACACTGCAAGGAAACATAAATCACCACAAAAAACCAAGAAGGAAAGTCTTATACAAGCACAATCTAGCCCGTGGGAGACAGTGGGTTTTGAGGCTGTGAGGAATGAAATCTCAGGCCTGATGGTTTCAATGATTTAGTCTCACTATCACCTGAGCAACTCCCCCTTTATTTCAGTTGTGTGAGTGAAGGATAAGTCTGAATATTCACTTTGCCTTGACAGTCCCAATGCAGGCTGTCTTTTTGTTGACTCTAACTCATAATTTTTTCCCCCATTATTAAAATTATTCTTTTTAGTCATGGTCTTTTTTAAGATGTTCTGCTGCAGTACAATAAAGCACACATTTTAAAACATTCCCACAAAGCCCACCACATCCATGGCTGGGTCTGATCCTTTGCTCCTGGAGGAAGCCTTCAAGACCCTGGACATCAACAGAGTTGATTTATGTTGGTGCAAACAAAGGAAGAAGTTGCCTTCCCACTTCATGGCTCATCACCCTGAGTGCCAGCAGGAGAATTTAGGTTTTTGCAGGATGTTGACTTGGACTGGTGCCTCAGCTATGGTCCTAAAACAGTCTGTCTCCATAAAAACACTATAACAAACTGCCCCCTCATGTTTCACAAATCCATCTCTGCCTCTGCTCCTGCAGTATTTCATGGGGTTCCCATCTCTGAAAAGCTGGGGACAGCAATTTTGAGACAACTTCCCCTATAAACAGCAAACTTCTGTGTTTTTCATAATGGCTATCCTGTTATAGCTTAAAACCATAATTATTTTTTGAATTCTTTTCCTCTCAGATCCATAATCTGTTGCAATAAACACAATTCGATGATTAAAGAGGCTGTACTCTCTCCTTCACTAAGGATTTTTTCAGCATTTTTATTTAAAGGCCTATCCTTCCCCAGCTGTAAAGATTTTATGGATGTTCTCACAGAGAGAATCAAGATAGATATGCAAAGTTAAAGCTTTATCAGCTCACATAGAAGTTTTTATTTTCATGCTTCCACTCTGGAAATTTAAAGTCATACTCTCTTCTCACAGATACACTTAAAAAACTCCTTTTCCTTTCTGTGTCAGAAATTCCAAAAGGAAATTTACAAAGCTGGCCCAAAAAGTCATAAGGAATCTATTTTATATACAGCTCTCTTCCCAAGAATGCTGTAGGTTTAGGGTAATTACTTGTTCTTGCAGTTTTGTGGGTTAAAATAAATGATCACTGTAATTTGTTTTTCTTACAGCCCGATGTTAAGATCTTTGCATTTCTGATTTTTAGTGGAGCTGGGCCTTAGAAAAGGCTGAAGTATTAAGAATTTAATAATTTAATCTCTTAAAATCTTTTATCAGGAGACTGTGTTTACAGATTTTTTTGTTTTAGGGTTTTTTTTGTTATTGTCGTTGTTGGGGTTTTTGGGGGGTTTTGTTTGGTTGTGGATTTTTTGGGATTTTTTGGTTTTTTTGGTGGGTTTTTTTGAGTTTTTTGTTTTGTTTTTGTGGGGTTTTTTTTTTGTTTTGTTTTGTTTTGTTTTGTTTTGTTTGGGTTTTTTTTGTTTTTTTGGGGTTTTTTTTGTGGGGGTTTTTTGTGGTTTTTTTTTTTTTGTGTGTGTTTTGGTTTTTTTGGGTTTTTTTTGGTTTTTTTGGGTTTTTTTGGGTTTGTTTGTTTGTTTGTTTGTTGGTTTGGTTTGGTTTTTTTGTTGTTTTTTGGGGGTTTTTTTGTTTAGTTTTGTGGGGTTTTTTTGTTTGTTTGTTTGGTTGGTTTGTTTTGTTTTGGTTTGGTTTGGTTTAGTTTTTTTTTTTTTTGTTTGTTTGGTTTTTTTTTGTTTTTGTTTCATGGTGTAAGCCTTGGGCTGGAAGATGGAGCTGGAGCCCAAATCCTGATCTTGCACTGCCATTTATTTCCTGGGTGGTCTGGAAGAAAAAACTCTTGAATTTCTTGTCTTGAGGACTGGGTAGGGATGTCCCCTCCCCTCATGAACATTCCCAGCCCATGGGGCACTGAGCAGAGCCCCAGTGGGAATGGGAGCAGCCTGTGGGGCTGGGGGGCTCGGGGTTTGGAGCCATGGAGAGTCACAGAGTCACAGAATCATGGAATCAGAGAGTTGTGGAATCACAGAATCATGGAATCATAGAACCACAGAATCACAGAGTTGTACAATAGTTTGGGTTGGAAGGGACCTTCAAAGTCCATCTAGTCCAGCCCCCTGCAATGAGGAGGGACATTTCCAATGAGATCAGGTTTCTCAGAGCTCCATCCTACCAGACCTCAAATATTTACAGGAATGGGGCATCCACCACCCCTCTGAGGAACCCGTGCCAGCCCTTCACCACCCTTAGGATAAAAGACTTCTTCACTTGGAAGCCACTACTGCTTGTTCCATGGAATCTTGTATGGTGACACCCTGGCACAGGGTGCCCAGAGAAGCTGTGGCTGTCCCTGGATCCCTGGAAGTGCCCAAGGCCAGGCTGGATGGAGCTTGGAGCAGCCTGGGATAGTGGAAGGTGTCCCTGCCATGGCAGGATGTGAGACTGGATGAGCTTTAAGGTCCCTTCTCCCCAAATCATTCTGTGCTTCTGTGATTTTATGACTCAGATAGATGGTGTGGGTTCACTGGGAGGGTAAAGCTGGTACCTCCATCTGGGAAGGAGTTTATTAGTAACTAATTAATAATGGGCTGGAGGATGCAGACACAGACAGCAGGACTTGTTTATCACGCCTGACAATTTTCTGCCCTTTTTATTTTAACCTCTGTATCCATAAACAGCACCATGGCCCTTCTCCCTACACCCAGCCTGGTGTGGATACTCACAATCCCCCGTGCTGGGGGTGTTCCCTGTCTGTGCTGGCCCCTGAGCCATGCCCAGGGACTGCCCAGGAGGTCCCAGAGATGCAGACCAGGCCCACACCATGGCCAGGACCAACACTACACCTGACTGAGTGAATATTTCCCTCTACAGGCACATATTTCCTTATTTCCTACGTCTTTATGAGCATGTCCACTGCCCCAGCATCTGCTTAGTGGACTGATCTTAGAAGAGGTCACTTGTGTCATGGGATCTTCCTCCTGCCTGGACGAGTCACCAAAAACCCCAAGGTTTTTGTGTCCCCCAGAGCCTCCCATCCTGCTGCCTGGAGAAAAAGCCTCACACTCAAGCAATTACAGAAAAGCCCAGTGGTTTTGGCTCTCCCAGGAAAGCTCAAATGGACTGTGGAAAAGCTGAATGAGGGTGTGGTGTGGTCCCACAGAGAGAACAGACAGGTGGGATTAAATTTGACCTTAAATGGAAAAGCAGGGCTCGATTCCTCATCCCTGGGCGTCAGGGCAGTCTCATGAGAGGGCAGAGGGGACAGCAGCACAACTGTGCATGGTGTGGCTGACTTGGGAGGAAAGAGCTGCAAAACTCTTCCTCCCCATGCCATGGCAGCTGTGTTCTCTGTCCTCTTCCCACAGCCACAGCCTGGGGCTGGGCTTGTTGGTACAGCCTCAGAGTGAGCAATTTGCAGTCACAGGCAGATGTACAAACCCCACCAAGCTATTAAAGTGCTGATGATTTATTACTCATAGAATCATTGAACAGTTTGGGTTGGAAGGGACCTTAAGATCATCCAGTGCCACCCCCTGCCATGGGCAGGGACATCTTCCACCATCCCAGGGTGATCCAAGCCCTGTTCAACCTGGCCTTGGACACTTCCAGGGATCCAGGGGCAGCCAGAGCTTCTCTGGGCACCCTGTGCCAGGGCATCCCCACTGTCATTCAGTTTGCCACTGGGCAGTGCCTGCCCTTTGCTAGATGAGCTACTCCCAGAATTATGTCCATGGCTGACCAGCTCCCATTGCTTTTGCAGAGCTGCAAACCCCCTCTCTGAGCACTCAGCTGCACCCCAAGGTGACCTTGCAGGTTGTTGTAGGCATCCCTGGTTCTGGAGGATGGTCCCTGGCAGTGCCAACACCATCCCTGGGGAATGGCTGTGGGAGCCAGGGAGCTGGGGAAGCCTGGAGAGCCTTGCAAGCCACCTTCCCTTCCCACTTACCTCCCCAACCATTTATATCCCTCCAGCCCTTCCTCCTCTAAGATAATTAAGGGCACAGGAGAAATTAAGCTAATTCTGTTGGGGCTGCTGCAGGTCTCTTATCACCAGCTCTGCCTTCCCTCCTTCCTATGTACATGTAATTAAAGCAGGTTTTTCTGCTGTAAGATAAAACTCTTTGTTCTTCGAGACCAGTTTCGCTCACAGTGCTGCTTGGCCTAAACTTTTAGTCCTTCTCATGGAAATTCCTCAAAAACTCAGCCAAAATGCTCATCTCCCTGTGGGTTCAGGGTGAATCCCCCTTCCCAGTCAGAGCCCAGGACAGTCCTGCTGTAAAGGACAATCTGCAATGGGTCACTTTGGGTCACTGAGCGACCCTCCCTGCAATCCCTGCCCAGCTGGCATTAAATAACAGCCTGTGCCATTTTTAAATGCTGCCATGGCAGTCGCTGTGACAACCTTAAAACAGACCCCCTGTGCCAAGCCCTAGGGCTGCTGCAGCCACCCCGAGCCCTGGGGACAGATTTAGTAGAGGCATAAAGCAAAATAGCCCCAGAGGGCACAAGGACAGCACAAGGCCCTTCCTTCCTCTGCAAGGGAGGGGTGAACTCGTGAATTCCCCCCCAATCTCTGTGCCTGATTTTGTGGGAGAAGGGAAAGGAGGAGGAGGGAAAGCTCTCAGCCTCCTGTGCCTACAGGAAATCTGAAAACAAGAGGCATGGCTGGCAGGGAGCAGGGAAATGCCCTGGCCACCAACAAACAGAGCTTAGGGCCAGTGCTCAGAGGGGAAAAAATGTTGTGTCACCAGCTCATAGACCAGGAGGGACCTGGGTGAAGGCTTTCTGCAGGTCATAGAGCTGCACTTGTGAACTCAGCCCCCTGGAAGGGCACTGAGCACTGGTGTCCCCCCTGCAGGTGACACGGACCCATCCAAGAGCTGTGGTTCCCTGGGCACACCTTAAATCATGGAGTCACAGAATGGGTTGGCTTTTAAGCCACCTTAATGATCATCCAGTTCCAAAACCCCTGCCACGTGCGGTTTAATCCTCTAGATTGATGCTTCTCCAAGCCCCTTCCAAACTTGAGCACTTCCAGGGATGGGGCAGCCATAGTTTCTCTGGGCAACCCATGCAGGGTCCTTGGCAGCCTCAAAGAGAATTAATTTTTAATATCTGATTTAAACCTGCCCCTTTCAGTCTTTTCTCCTTGTTCAAGTCCCTCTCCAGCTCTTCTGGAGCTCCTTTAGGCTCTGGAAGGGGCTCTGAGCTCTCTCTGGAGCCTTCTCCTCTCCAGGTGAGCACCCCCAGCTCTCCCAGCCTGGCTCCAGAGCAGCTCCAGCCCCTGGAGCATCTCCCTGGGCTCCTCTGGGCTCTGTTCCAACAGCTCCATGTCCTTTTTGTGTTGAGGGCCTGCAGGTGGAGTCTCACAAGGACACAGCAGACCGGGACAATCCCCTCACTCTGCTGCCTTGCTGGATTTACAAGGCTCCAACCAGGCAGTGCTTTATCAAACCTTGCCCCTCTCCCTTCCTTCTCACCCTGTTGTCTCAGGTTTAAGGATACAATTCCCACAGGGTAAAGAGTTACAGGGTGATAGCTGAGCCCTCTTTGCTGCATTTCCCAGTACCAGGTGTTCCTCACAGAGACAAGGTGGAATTTTCACCTCCTTTCTTCCATTACAGCTATAGGTGTCCATTCCTTATCTCTTTAAGGCCCCTGTAAGTCCCAGGATAAAGACCAAGGTTAAGGGTCACATGAAAAGGGATTTTTTAGCACAAGGTTGCAATGATGTCACTGAATAGTGAATCCCAAACCTGTGCTCAACCCAGGATCACCCAATTCCCTCATACGTCAGCAGGGTTGGGGGTTTTTTGTGTGTTTTTGTTTTTGTTTGGTTTTTTGGTTTATTTTTTTGTTAGTTTGTTTGTTTTGGTGGGTGGTTTTTGTTTGTTTGTTTGTTTTTGTTTTGGGGTTTTTTTGGGGGGGAAATAAAGTGTTTTCCTATGTGCTTTTTTTCCTTCCTGAGAGTTCAGGTTCAGCAGGAGTGGGTGCCTCTCCCAAAGACTCTGTGTCAGGTTAGGCCAGCTCTGAATTTGTTCCTGCAGCTGGTTTTTGTGACCACGCTCCCATAAATAAGAGCTGAGCAACAATTGCAGGGAATATTGTGGTTGCCCCTGCCAGCAGCTTGAGGCTTCACTACAAGGTGGTTATTGATCCTGGTAGATAACAGCCTTTCCCCTGGAAACCAATGGTATCTCCCACAGTTGATTAGGCTGTAAATTATTGGTGATTATTTTCATAACTTTGGACTTGGCTCTAGTTTATTGTCTTTTTCTGAGGGGAGAAATAGTCATGGTTTATTTTCTTAAGAATCTTAAGGCTTATTGATGGGATTCAATTTCAGGGCTCATTCAATTGAGACACATCCTCAAAGCCTTTGCTGAATCAAAGCTTAGAGCTCTCCTAGCATTTCAAGCTTTTCTTTTTTTCCCTTTTTTTCTTTCTTCCTTCCACTTCACCTTTTAGTTACATGATCCTGAGGGCAGAGATGGCACGATAGGAGTCCCAGCTGTGAGGCTGGGGGTGCTGTGATTGCCAACAGGATGCAAGCTGGTGATAAGGCACAGCTCCCTTCTGCGATAGGCGCTCCGGGTGTTGGCTGCATTTGATCCTGAACCATGCAAAACAAGAGGAACATTGCATTCCTCTGCCTCCCATTCGTGTATTTCACCACAAGGGCTGTTCTCTGGCCGTTCCACAGTGGGTGTGAAAGATTAACATCAACCACAGCAGAGCCAAACCCCGGCTGCAGATAATTATGCAGAAGGTATCTCATCCTCCCCGGGGTCACTCTTCTACCAAGTGTTTTCACTCAACCTGCCTGTTTTTTGGGGGAGATAAACTCGCTTGAACATGTCTCCTGAGTTGCAGAGCTGTTAATTTTGGATAGAGCTGGCTGCTCATTTCCTCTTCTACCTGTTCTCTTCTGTGCTTTTGACAATGAGAGAGAAATGCTTTGTCCTTCTTGAACTTTCCATTCCTCATAACATGCAAGCACCAGGGCAAAGAGACACTCAGGCATTAAAGCTTGGCTTGGAATGCAAAGAGGTGCCCAAAACAGCCTCTTCTGTCTCTAGGATTTGTCAGTTCTTTAGAAGGTCAAGGGAGCAATCATCATAAAATCCTAGAATGGTTTGGGTTGGAAGAGACCTTAAAGATCATCTCATCCCACCCCCTGCCATGGGCAGGGACACCTCCCACTGTCCCAAGGTGCTCCAAGACCTGTCCAGCCTGGCCTTGGACACTTCCAGGGATCCAGGGGCAGCCAGAGCTTCTCTGGGCACCTGTGCCAGGGCCTGCCCACCCTCACAGGGATGGATTTCCACCTGACATCTCATCTAAACATCCCCTCTGCCAGTTTAAAGGCATTGCCCCTTGTCCCATCTCTTCATGCTCTTGTCAAAAGTCCCCCTCCAGCTCCCCTGTGCCCTCCTTTATTGATGAAGGCTAATGGCCTCTTCTTTGGGCTTGTCCCTTTTCCACAGTCCACAGAGGAAACTGCAGAACATGTTCAGATCCCTCCAGTGAAGGGGTGACACTCATTTCACCCAGGATTTTCACAGGAGTTCTCTAGATCTACGCCCAGGCTGCCTTTAGAGCCAGGGGTGAGAAAATGGCAGTCCCAGAGGGGACCAAACTTATATGTCAATTTTGGGATTAAATTAATCATGTTCCAGCAGTTCCCATTGCTCCCTACTGTTACAAGCAGAGTCTTGAACATCTTCTGTGATGCAAAACCAACACAACATCCCAGAGAGACAAACTCCCCACCAGTGCTTGCAGTGGGTGTTGTGGTCCCCTCTCTCAGTGAGCTGCAGCCTGTCTTCACGTGAGGAGCAACAAGAGATGGGACTAGGCTGGGTAAAAGTAAGTTATTTTCTTTTCCTCTCACTGTTACTGAAGGACAAGGAAGGCAGTGCAGATTATCTGCTCCTCTGAGGGCTTCTGGCTTCGTCTTTAAACTGCTGTGATTACGAATTGATCAAATAGAGAAGCAGACGAGGTTTTGGGATGTGTGGCTCTGCCATCCCAGCTGGTGAGATGAGCAGACTCAAAGCAGAAAATTGGTCCTGCTCCTGCAAAGGGCCCTCTTAAGATGTCTAAAGCTGCATGGACCAATAATTTTGTATTAAGTTGATTTGGCACAGTTTGCTCTGCTGGCTCTTTCACGGAGAAGAGCAATCCTCCTCCAGAAACTGAAAACCACCAGCATTTTCTAGAAGTGGGCAATGACAAAAGAAAAGGAAAATTCAAAACCAGCCATTAAAAAAAAAACAACAAACTTTTAAAATAGCAGATGAAAGACATATCATGCAACTTTCAAGGAACTCAGACAAACCTTGAGGTGCTCCAGTCAGCAGAGGTGAAAATGGCAATGTAGGAAATGTGCTGTGAAATTGTAGGACCCTCCTGGCTCTGCATCCCGCGCCCGGAAAGCGCCTTGGCGTATTTCTGAAGTGCAGATTTAGCACAGCATCCTGGGAGAGCACATTTCAGTTCCTGCATTTCATTCATTTTGATGCCTTTCTAATGCAGATGCAGCTGAACTATACCATTGATTCATGCACACACCTCTTTTCCATATAGATGATGACTGCATCAAAGAAGCCAGCGCTCTGAAATAGCACACAGTGAAATACCACAGCAATTCTCATTTGGAGTCTATAGTGGGAGAGCAATTTCCAAAAATGAAGAGCAAGGTTCCTAATCCATAGCAGCTTTTTGCCAGAGAGATGTGGGAGAGAAGAAACAGGATGCATCCTGCATGAATCATCGCTGTAACCACCCTGGATTTATTAACTGAAATTATGAGGAATAACCAAAAGTGATTAAAACCTCAGATGTCTGGTGAAAGGCGTCACCTCAAGCACTGGCTGTTATGAGATAGTGCCATAGTCTTCCTGTTGATTTCAAATAATTGAGGGCTAAAAGGTCAAGTTTTCAAGAGCAAATAATTCATGGTTTAAAAATATGGGACAACCATCATCACCACCTATCACAGAGAGGGGTAAAGACATCCCCAGGTCCTGGGAACTTTGTCCTTCCCCAAAACAGGGTGACTACACCATCCCTTTTCCTTTTCACTCACCAGCTCACTGGTTTTTGCACGACTGCTGCCTCCCACTCCTACCTTTGAGACCCCAAATTCCCTCTTCACTACCACCACCACCAACCTGTAGATTCACCCTCACCGAGCTGTTGAGCCACATTCTTTGCATGGAGAATGTCCAGGTTTGGGGCCCAGGTTTTGGCAGAGCAGTCACAGTTTCTCCTTGAGGTTCTTCCTCCAGGGGTTGCTTTGTGACCCCCACCCCTGACTGCCTGGCCAGAAGGAGAGGGGAACAGGCCACCCCCACACTGGAAGTGGCTCTTCTGTATCCAAAATTATGCTCAAAACTGCTTGTTTGAGCTGCTGCCTTGGACCCTCCCCCAGAACAATCCCTGAGATCCCAGAAGCTGGGAGCTCTGCAGGCTCAGGGGGTGTGAAGGACCCATGGGGTGATAAGTGGAAGGAGCAGGAAGACTTTTCTTGCCTTTCAAGTCACATCCCTTCCAGTGCCCTCACTCCATATTTTACAAGCTTATTTGTACATTCAAATTCTCCTCGGTTGTGTCCTGGCTATCACGGGTTCCAAATCAAAATTCCTGCTCTATCCAGCGAGTTCTGCAGGGCTGTCCTTGGCAGCTCTTGCAGGCTCCTGGAGGGAAGCTTGGGCTGCTGCTTTCCTTTGCTGGTTATCTCCCAATCTCAGCTGCAGACCCCCTGCTCAAGCTCCCCCCTTTCCCTGTCCTTGGACATCTTCACTGTGCCCAGACTCCAGAGCCCTTCCTGCTGTGGTCCAGCCCCATGAGCTCCCTTTGGGATAAGTGTGCAGGAATTGTGTGGCGTCCATCTGCCACGTCCTGGCCTGAGTTTCTGCCCACTCTCAGCCTCATCCAAACCTCCCAGGAGGGAACTTTATGGTCCTCAACAGAGAAAGCATCACTGCAGTGACAAATACTGCAGAGTTCAGAGCACTCTGAGTGCCCTGAGCAAGCTGGAAGAAAAGTTTCACTGGGTAACCTCAAGGACACACATCAAGGACTCCCAGAGAAGCTTGGGGTACACAGCCCTGGTCTCTCTCTGTGCTCACTTAATGGGTGGGTCTGTTCCCACACCCTTTTTGCCAGCTGCTGGTAGAGAAGTGAGGAGGGAAGCAGAGATGAAGACGTTCCTCCCAGCGGGGTCTGCTTCTCCTTGGGCAGCCCTCAGGATCTGGAGATAACAGTGTGCTTCCTCTGTATTTTAGAGGGGCCAAGAGAGGCAGGGAAGCTCAGAACTAAGTCACCAGCCAGGTCATTTCCACTTCATGCTGTCAGAGCTCAAGCAGAGGGAGGATAAAGGCTGTTTGTTGGTTTTTCCCTTCCCAGCTCAACAGGCACAGTGATACTTCAGCATCCTGGAAAACACAGCAGAGGTAGGTGGCTCTACCCAGGAGCAAAACAACCTAAATTGGTGCACTTAAAGACAGGGACATCCTGTCAACATCAGGGTTTCTGTATAAACCCAGCCAAGGGGGGGAAAATCTGGAAGGGGTGGGCGTGAATTTGCCAGGCAGAAGGGAGGGTGAGGAAGTCCTGAGATGAAGGACTGAAAAGGGCATTGAGAGACCAGGCATGGGTCTCCATGGTCTGCATGGCTCAGCTCTGGGCTCTACATCCTTGAAGGCTCTCCCCACATTCAGGGGTGTTCATCTGGGGAGGCTGGATACCCACTCCTTGCTATTTTTAAAGCTGAATGTTAATATCTTTAATTGCCAGAGCTCCAGGAAGAGAGCCAGAGCTAAAAAGTATCTACTAAGAAACTGCCAAGAAACACTGTTAAACAGGATCTAGGAAAAAAGCCAGGCACAAAAATTTATGATCTTTATCTCTGCAATAATAATTTCTCAGTGGTCAACCGAGGAGCAGAACAAAGGTCACTGGTTTTGTATCAGCTGGAGTTTGTGAAATCCTTTGTTTCCTTCACTGTGAGCTTGTCCTGTGGGTCTCCTGAGGGAGACCCTACAAATGAAAAAAAACCTGATAGTTCTGACTGACCCATTTGTCCCCATTCTTTCCCCAAGACCCAAAAACTCTGCAATTCCAAGTCAGAGACCTTCCCAGCACTGGGAAAAGCCCAGCCTGGACCCTCATCCAGGGCAGAAGCCTGTTTCACCTCGTTTATTAAACAAGATATCCATAGGAATGGGCCAGTGAACCCACTGAACCCACCTCACATGAACAGTCACATTGATTCTATGTAAGAATTTTGCATTTGCACAGATGCAAGAGCCAACCTCATCTCAGGTTTCCTTCTTTCCAGCATGATGGGGCACAAGCAAGGGACCCATGAAGACCTCTGCATATAAATTAAAGGAGAAGAGGTTCTTTTTTTATTATTATTTCCTGGTTATATAGTGGAAACAATTCTAGGCAAAATATACACAGTTTGCTTCTTGACATGGCTGCCAAGATTCCCAGCTTTACAACGAGGATCAGATTTCAGAATACTTCCAAACCAACCCCCACAAAAATTAATTGACTATCCAGGAAACTCTTGGCTTTGGATGTTGTTTATTTTTAAGGTAAAGTTCTGAGGGGAACTTTGAAAATATGATCTCTGTGAGCCTTAGTGACTCAGAGGGTGGCATTCAGTGCCTACACACAGGAGCCTGGTGCCATCTGAGATGCCCTTGTATATCTGAGACATCCCACAGTGCTGGCAAAGGGACACAGAGCCGAGGGAAGACAAGCAGTCCTCAGAAGCAAGAGCTGGAGTCTGGGGCTGGATACCCCAGAGCTTCTAACTTGGCTCTGGGAAATGGTGTTTAGACAGCCAAACCCAGCCCTAACGCACACATATAAAATGTATGTAATCAAATCAATCAGTCACTCAATCAATCACGGGAGATACATCCAGATCTTCGGGTTTCATGTCAGCTCTGGAGGCAATTTAAGCAGGATTTCAACACTCAGGACTGTGTTAGAAACACACTATTTGCTTCACTGACACTTCCAGGCATGCTGAAGCACTCAGCTGGCCCAAGCTCCCTGCTCCCACCCTTGCTGCTCACATCCTCTTCTCCATCCTTGTTCCTTCTGCAGCTCCACCACAGATTACAAGAGAAAGAAGAGAGGATTTATTTTTTTTTTTGTTCCAAAGGAGAGGTGTGCAAAATGCAGGAGGCAAAGACTTTCCACTGGGCAAAGCTGTGATGAGGTTTATGGCGCCCTGAGGGGTGATGGAAGGGGCTGGCACATGAACCACAAGCAGCTCTGGGGCAGCATTACCTCAGAAAGTCAGCACCCTCATAGAAAAGCAGGATATTTTTAGTTTACCAGTGTATTTAAATCTTCATGGAGTACATTAAAATTATAGTAATTATCCCACCTTCTCATGTGGGATTCTGGGAGGTGATGGATCAGTGGATCGTGTGCTCGTTGGAGTCATCTTTGGTGAGGTCCTTCTGCAAAACAGAATTGTTTTGTTTTCCCCATTTTACAGCTGCAGCATTCCTGGCCCATTAATGCCAGGAATTCTGGACATTCATTCATTCAGGAATTCATTTGAATTCTGGGATCTGTTCACAAACCACCCTTCCCTCTCCAGCAGCCCAGACAACCCCCGTGACACCAACTCTTTCAAAAAATGCATTTCCACGCTCCTGGAGCTGTGAGTTTCCACATGCAGGCGAGGCTGATGTTTTCTTCATGGCAGTATTTAACCTCTGGATCATTTCTGCTCCCCCTGCATAGCTGCACTGAGGGGAAATGCAGGGAAACTTGGTGGTGCCCCTGCCCCTGCTCCCACCTCACTGCCCCACCACTGCAGGCAGGAGAAGGGGATTTGATTCACTGCTGCAGCAGCAGCTTTGGAAAAGAACTGTGAAAAAATGCAACTTTTTTCACAGGAAAAAAAAAAAATCATTCTTTCCCAGATCAGAAGCTTCATGTTTCTGATTGCAAAGGAAAAAAAATCAGGAGAGGTTGAACAGAAAAGTCTTGACAAAAAGATCATTTCTCTTATAAACTGTCATCACCAAATTCTGAGTTATCTCCATTTTTAAACCCTCTGTTGAAGGACGGTTCATCTGATTTCAAGATCTCTTCTCCCTTTTGTTTTTGTTTCTTTTCAGGAAAACAAGAATATTTGTCTTAAAAATGGTTCCTGATACTTCTTGGTGGATCAAAGATGAGGAGAAGTCCCCATCATCTCTCCACGAATGGAGTGACAGGTTTCTGCCAAGCCTTGAACTGTTCCCCAGCCCAGAGTGGCCTTGGAGGCTCCCCCAGCCCTCATGGTCCCAAACCCTGTGGCAGCTCTGGATCCCTGTAGGGTGTGAGAAGTCCCCATTGTCCTCCTCTGCACGTGGGGAACCTTGCCAGCATCTGGCCATTCCCCTGCCTCACACCCCTGGCCCCTTCCCAGCTCCTCCAGCAGCAAGTTCCTGATTATTTACTCTCTCTAAATGCTGCAGAAAAATGCTGCTTCTCCTGAATACTAAGTAAGTAAGGGAAAAAAAAAAAAAAAATCAACTCATTCCCTTGCTGGGTTGTGTTTGTTCTGTGGTTTGAAGTTTGCTGTTGCTGCTGAAAACTTTTTTGACCCTTTTAGG